TGTTCCTAATAATATTTTAATAGTCTCCATGGGGAAATGGAACAGAATTCTTGCTCCGTAAGCCATGCGTGTCGTAAGAGGTGACAAAAATGCCGGGAGCAAGGGGATAGAAACCCCCTTTCTCCTGTAATTTTACTAAATTTGAAAGGAAAACTTTATTTTTCCTTTTGGGCCCCCAACTGGGGGGAAAAACGGTGGTTCGTTGAAAGAAAGAATTTTTAAAATTGCATGTAAATACTTATTTTTTTATACAGTATAAAAATAAAGTATTTATTTCTTTATTTTTTTCACTTTATTTTCACTTTTTTTTCCTATACTAAAACTTTTCTGGATGTAAGCATCTTCTGCTATCAGCATTTAAAGTCTCTCCAGTTTTAACACCTCATGAAAGTTTTTTATGATTTTTAAAATTAATTTTTTCTTTTTACAGTTTAAGATTTTATTTTTGGGTTCCCTAAAGGGTCACTCTGCTCTTATGTGCAAAGGACCTACATGAGTTAGGGGGCTCAGGGATGGGACAGGGGGTTTTTAAAAACCATTGGGCGGGAAGATTTAGCTGATGTACTCTCACAAAATTGGTGTGTTCTCTATGTTTCTTTCAAAAAAAAAAATTTGTCGTAAAAGTAAGAGCTTTGGGAAGGTGACCCTTTTATCAGATGAAAAAAGGGCTCATCCAAAAAGATTTGGTTGCAAATGCTTTGGTAAAAGAAAGCTTTTTAATAATTTTGAAAATGACAACATTACTGTTTTTTTGGTTTTAAGTAAGTTTTTTTGGGTACAGGTACACACAGACAATTATCATAATAGAACATGTGTATAAATTACCTAGGATAACCCAAAAAAGCAAAAGTGACTTGTATTTACTTTTTGCCCCAGTTATTCCTCCAGCTTTTTTTAAAAATTAGACAAATAGAAATAAGAGAGGCCCCTTTTTTCTCACTAAAAAAACAATAGGTTTTTATTTGTATTGCAAATCATATTTGAAACTTGTTTTATATATTTAAAAACATTCTTGAAACATTGAAGTTTACTTAAATGTCTTAGGTTGTAGGTAGTGGTTGGTAGACAGCAACCCCCCGGGGAATACTCCGTCCTGCCAGATGCGTGAAACAAAAACCTGAATTGTTTTGCTGAGGGTAGGTTTGCTGGTTTCTTTTTCTGTCTCATAAACCGCTAAGAAAGGGATATCTTGTATCTAAAACATTTTGGGTCACACTTCACAGACACGCACAGCATATAATTTACATACACTGGTTTTTCCCCCTTTTTCTAAATACTCTTGTTTTTTTTATTTTTTATTGTCCATGGGGAAGGGAAAAGAATCTTTCCCCCGAAAGCCATGGTGCGTATGAGGCGACTAAAATGCCGGGGGCAAGGGGGCAGTAACCCCTTCCCCTGTATACAATTCAAAAAAAAAAAGGAAGAAAAAAAACTTTAAAAAACGGGGTTTTCTTAAATGTGCTGGATGTAGTGCGGTGAAAAGAAACAATATTGCTGAGTTTGAATGAAAAGAATTGGATGTCCGGGCCCCCAAAGCGAAACAAAGCTGAAGGGGGTGGAGATTTCAGGGGGGGAAATAAATGGGTTTAAATTGGAGTTTTGAGAGATTTTAAGAAAAGGAAGGGGTAGCCAGAAATGTTAAATGATCAGTTAGGAAGGAGAAAAAGAAATGAATGTGAAAATTCAAGAATTTGTGATTAAAGAAAAGGGTTTGGGATCGAGAAGTGGGTCATAAAAAGGTGTATCACCGGGAGAAAGGGAATGCAGGGAGAGAGGAGATTTTGGGGATGTTAAAAATGATGGGAGCCTTTGAACCAAGTGAGAGGTAATTGTGGTAGGGGATTAAAATGCTAAAGTAGGAGAAACTTTTAGAGGGTGTGGTAGGAAAGTTTGGGGTGCCAGGTGTAATATAATGGGAGCCCTTTGATTGAACTTTTATAAAAGGGGTTTAGTTATAGGTAATACATATTTTAAGAAAAAGAGGATAAAAAAAGTAACACGATTGAGTAGGGCAAAAATGCAGTTTTGTTGGATTTGTTTTGGGTAGATAAAAGACTTTGGTAGATTCAGGATGAAAATGTTTTTAGGGGGGGGCCAAAATATATCAGATCACTTTTTTAGTAATGAGAGAAAAGGTAATGGGATAAAAGGAGAATAAAAGCATCGGAAAGAGAGAGGTAAAGGTTTATAAAACTAAAAGAGGGGGCAGTTGGGGAAATAAAAAACAGATTGGGGGAAAATTGGGCTAATAGAGATAGGCAAGGGGGTCGAAGAGGTATGGGGTGGGTTTTAAAAAATGTAGGTTAGAGTGTCAGCGAATTTTGGGTTACGGGAAAGTGGGTGCGGGGGAAGAGGAGCGATTGGTGGAATGATATGAAAGGGGTAGAAAGGGGAAAAAAGTTAGCATATGGAATTTTTACAAAGTAGAAGTGATGCAAGGGAAAGTATATGAAAAAGAGAGTTAAGGAGTGGTGAAGCAATGTAAAAGAGAGCAAATGAGCAGGGGTCATGTTATCAACAAATTTTGTTGAAATAATGAAAAGTTTGGAGTGAATAACAGTTGAAAGCCTAGAGAACTATGGATTTGTCGTAAAATAGAGAGGAGAGTAAATGGAAAGTTAGAAGGTGGGAAATGAAGGGAATATTGGGAAAAAAATTGTTAAAATTTGATCCCAATAGGACTGGACTTGTTATAGAGGCCTTGGGGAAAACATTGTAGAGTCGTGATGGAGTTTAGGTGGGGAAGTTCGGGGCAAGTAAAATGAAGCTGGTGTGACCGGCCTTGGGGATCAAAAGACTGATGTAAAACAGGTGGGTACTGTTGGAGTTCAATTGTTTAATAAAGTAGGAAGAGGGTCAGGTACCTTTTAGGTGGCGGAGTGCATGCCTTTTGTTGAAAGGCAGCCAGGGATCTAAGGTAAACCCTTTTTATGCGGGATAAGTTTTGAAGTCCTGGTAAAGTTGTATGTGTCTTAATTGAAGGGAATTAAGTTAGGGTGGGATGTTGCATTGAACGGAGGCTTTATGTCTGGGGTTTTTAAAGGTGTTTAAGTAACATTAGGATATATTTAATGACGGCTTAAGTGTCCTTTGTGGCTATTATATTTGGAAAAAGGCTATGGGGTGGAAGCAGGGGAATTCGTGTGTCGTAAGCATAGGTGTCTGAAAGAGTGAAGTTTTTAAGGATGGAGGACAAGTGGATAGTAGAACGCGAAAATTTTCCCAGTAAAATTAGCTTAGAAAGGATGAAACCCCTTTGTTTTTCCTTTTATAACTGGTGTGGAATACGGCTGGTCTTTGGGAAAGAAAGAATATTTAATAGTAATGAAAACTACATTATTTGGTTGTCACAGCTGTCAATAAGTATGACATGTTCTTAATTTATTTGCAGATTTTCATTTGTTTGCAAACATAACAATTTTTCATGATAGGAAGTTTATGAGGTCATTAAAGTGTGATGAAAGATTTAATATAAATTGAGGAAAGTATGTTGGATGAAGTTTCAATTTAATTTTTTCGGGTTTTACAAGTTTAAGATTTGGGGTATGTTTGGCACTTAGGTAGTCTGTCAAGTGTTGGGGCAAAAGGGGAACTACATGGGGTATAGTGGCGGACCTCAATGGGTGGAAGCGGGTTTTGCAAAACAGGCTGGAGGTTTAGGGGAGATGACTGTCTCAGGCAAAATTGGTGTGTATCTAATGCCAGAGAATAATCGTATTGAGTTAGATGAGAGCTTTTACGAAAACTTTGTCAGACTGAGTAAAGGGTTGTTGAAGATGGTTGGTCTGTAAATGGACTTGAAAATGAAAGCTTTTCAAGAGTTTTCACGGGGAAGAACGGGTACTGCTATTGGAGGGGGGTTTAAGGTAAGTTATTTGGTACAGGTACCAGCACATGTTTACATTTGATAATAATAGACATGTTGTTAATTACTAGGATTACCGAAGAGGTGAAAAGTGACTTTATGAAGGATTCAGGTTAATCCGGCAGGACTTTTAGATGGGAAAGACAGTAGCACCTAAGAGAGGCCCTGTTATTCAGTTAAAAACTTTTTTATTTTGTATCTGGCACAATGATATTTGAAAGTTTTTTTTTTTCGACCCACCTGTCTTGGGGAAACGTGTGATAATAAAATAAAAAAAAATATCATATACAGTGGTATCTCGGGTTACAAACTTAATTCGTTCCAGAAGGCTGTTCGAGTGCCGATACCGAACGAATTTGTTCCCATAAGGAATAATGTAAATTAGATTAATCCATTTCAAACCCCCAAAAATACACTTCCAAAAATACATTTACATAATTGTTCGAGTTGGGAGCTGTTCGTATGCCAAGGTACCACTGTATACTGTGTATATTTAAGGTGAGTTGAATGGTTTGTATGTTTACCTGTGATATGTAGGATTTTGCTGTGTAGCGAATATAGAAATTATGTACTTATTTAAAACATTTTTTTTAATACTCTAGGTGACTCAAAAAATTAAAATGACTTTCTGAATTGTAATATCCCAACCTCTCTTTTGGGAGGAAGGCATTGTCCTTCCCACCTCCTGGACTCGAGTCCTGCTAACTGGTTTCCCTGAATTCATTCATAAATGTTACCTTGCTCACACTCCAACAGCATGTCAAACTATAAAAACCACTTGTCTCCACTCTGACCTGACATTCTCCCATAAGTCTTTTGGATGCTCAAGCCCTCAAAACCTCATTTACCTCTACAACCCTTCCTGGGACAATTCCTACCCTTTCTCCTTTCGTTTTGGTCATTCCATCTTGTTCCATCCTCTCCAAATATCCACACTATCTCAACAACCCCTCCTAAGCTCTGAATTATACAATTTTGTAACCCCGCACATCTGCTAATTTCTACTTTCCACATTCTCTGCATAATATTCACACTACACCTCAGACAAGACATCTCTACTGCCTCCAGTAGCTGCCTCTTTCCACAGATGCCTCAGCACTTAACCTACCTTTTTTTTCCTTTGTCAATTCTATAGTTCACCTTGTTTAAAAATGAAATGCACCCAGATTGACTTAATTGAGCTAATTGTTTCATCAGGGAAGACAGTGATGACACCTGGGACTAACTGTGGCAAAATCTCTGCAACAGCAGCATTGGAATTGGGACTATCTGACAGCACCTTTGTTGCAACGTCTATTATTGATGCTCATGCAGGAGGCCTGGCTCTGGTGGCCGCTGGGGCAAAAACCAAGCAAGATCTCATTGTAGACTAGGTAAAAATTCTATGTCCTAATTTTTATATTGTACATTGTGGTATTATAATAATCATAATCTTTATTTCAGCATGATGCTATGTTTGTACAAAGATGGGTGACATTTAAGTGTTTCAGAAAGCCACTTGGTATGCATAGCATTTGGGTAAAACTTAAACCTATCTTAAGACTATAAAGGCAATAACTAATTGATTGCTTATATTTTATGGTCTCTCCAAAATCTTTTGAAAAGGATTCAAGAGTCATGAAATTCAGGTAAGTTTTATCTAACATTATCCTCATTTAGCTAAACAGTAATTGTAAATGGTACGATGATACAGGAGGGCCCCTCTTTACAGCACTTCGCATTATGACGTTTTGCTAATGCAGCAGTTTTCAATTATACCCATTCTTCATTTATTCAGACTTCCTACGATAAATGTATTCACCACTCACAATAAGCTAAAGATGAAAATATTGCTGGAAGTCCAAGGGGCTTGGACTTCCAGCAAGCATGTGTGAGCATATTTGATAGGAGTGAGTGGCCTTTGTTAATGAAAAATCAATCATATTTATGTCCAGCTCCAAGTTTGCTTGTCCCATTGATTCCACTGGAAAAGTTACAGTGGATGCCCATGTCTGCCTGAAGGAATTTATCTTTTAAATTTTTTGTGTGATTAAACTTTTGAAAGTCCCACTCAGCAGTAATAAATGAAATGACAAAAACTGAGCTCTTCTTCTTTCAACAAACTGGCCGTATCCCACTGAAGCAGGGTGGCCCAAAAAGAAAAGCAAAAGTTTCTCTTTTTAACCATAGTAATGCATACAGGAGAAGGGGTCACCAGACCCTTGCTCCTGGCATTTTAGTCGCCTCTTACGACACGCACGGCTTACGGAGGAAGAATTCTGTTCCACTTTCCCATGGAGAACAAAAACTGAGCATCAGTATTAATTACTGAATAATTATGCATTTACAAATGTCATTAATTAATATAAAAGTGTACAAGATTACTGTCTTTTTACTTTCCTTGTACAGGAGGGCCCCTTTTGTATGGCTCTTAGGTTCCTGACCCTGTGTGATAAGTGAAAATAGTTGATGGGTGGAAAAGAGCATTTTTTCATTATCCACTGTGGCTCATGTGCCTGATAATGTGTTTACACTATTATATATTAAGTGCTCAAAACATCTAGGCATAAAATAACAGATAAAAAATAAAATAAAAATACATATACAGTACATACAGTACTTGCCCTAAATTATGGCACTGGTCACCCTTCCCTTATACAACTGTGTGAGAATAGCAGAAAGTAGTAAAAGCACTGAACATAATGAACAATGACTCAGTCAAAAGCCACTGAAAATGTGGAACACCGAATAGAGGATGCTGTATAAGCAAGTCCCTCCTGTACTGTATTTGGAACCATAATTGTACTTAACTGCATATGAAATCCTACTTAATAGTCTGTCTAATTCTTAAGTAATCTTAAGTAATGCAGTCCACAATTTATATTTTGTGTCTAACAATGTTTTATCTCCTGTAAACTACATTATTTTGTGTGAATTTGAATTAATGTAAGAGAAAAACTTAACTTCTAGGTAGTAGGTTGGTAGACAGCAACCGCCCAGGGAGGTACTGCCGTCCTGCTAAGTGAATGTAAAACAAAAGCCTGTAATTGTTTTACATGATGGTAGGATTGCTGGTGTCATTTTTCTGTCTCCTAAACATGCAAGATTTTGGGTACGTCTTGCTACTGCTACTTACACTTAAGTCACACTACATATACATGTACAAGCATATACAGGAGGGCCCCGCTTTACGGCGTTTCGCTTTACGGCGTTCCGCTAATACGGACATTTCAAATTATGACCAAAACTCGCTATACGGCTCCCCCCACCTGTCTTTCTAATACGGTCACAGCGGCCCACCGAGTTTGTTTACATTCTCCCTGAGCACATCTCCTTATTATGTCTGGAAACTTTCCAAAATTTCAAGTGTTTTAAAGTTATTGTATATTTTATATGTATTGTACTTGATAATTAAACTTGTGTACACCTGTACCTAAATAAACTTACACACTGTGCTGGCATGTAGGTACACATTAAAATCACTAAGAGTCTCTCTACTCTTGATGCAATAATAATAAAATAATAATAATAATAATAATAAATAGTAATAATAATAGTAATAATAATAATCTCTTGGGCGCATTAATGTCGCATATTACGTTAATATAGACATTTCCCTTAATCTATCTATGATATTTTTTTCAAAATTATATAAGAAACACATTATGTAACACACAAACATGATACATGCACCCACAGTATAAAAATTTATACAAATATATATGAGATGTTTACCAAACGGTTTGTAGAAGTGTCGGAAGAATTACGTTTTCTCTAGCCCGTCACCTGTTACTAGGGATAACTGTAGAAAAATATTCCTTTCGTATGCCTTCACTTTATAGCTATAATTCTGTACTAACCTGTACAGGGGTGGGATTAAATTATGGGGAATCAAATTCAAAATGGGAATTGACACAGTTACTTTTTGCTGATGATACTGTGCTTATGGGAGATTCTAAAGAAAAATTGCAAAGGTTAGTGGATGAGTTTGGGAATGTGTGTAAAGGTAGAAAGTTGAAAGTGAACATAGAAAAGAGTAAGGTGATGAGGGTGTCAAATGATTTAGATAAAGAAAAATTGGATATCAAATTGGGGAGGAGGAGTATGGAAGAAGTGAATGTTTTCAGATACTTGGGAGTTGACGTGTCGGCGGATGGATTTATGAAGGATGAGGTTAATCATAGAATTGATGAGGGAAAAATGGTGAGTGGTGCGTTGAGGTATATGTGGAGTCAAAAAACGTTATCTATGGAGGCAAAGAAGGGAATGTATGAAAGTATAGTAGTACCAACACTCTTATATGGGTGTGAAGCTTGGGTGGTAAATGCAGCAGCGAGGAGACGGTTGGAGGCAGTGGAGATGTCCTGTTTAAGAGCAATGTGTGGTGTAAATATTATGCAGAAAATTCGGAGTGTGGAAATTAGGAGAAGGTGTGGAGTTAATAAAAGTATTAGTCAGAGGGCAGAAGAGGGGTTGTTGAGGTGGTTTGGTCATTTAGAGAGAATGGATCAAAGTAGAATGACATGGAAAGCATATAAATCTATAGGGGAAGGAAGGCGGGGTAGGGATCGTCCTCGAAAGGGTTGGAGAGAGGGGGTAAAGGAGGTTTTGTGGGTAAGGGGCTTGGACTTCCAGCAAGCGTGCGTGAGCGTGTTAGATAGGAGTGAATGGAGACGAATGGTACTTGGGACCTGATGATCTGTTGGAGTGTGAGCAGGGTAATATTTAGTGAAGGGATTCAGGGAAACCGATTATTTTCATATAGTCGGACTTGAGTCCTGGAAATGGGAAGTACAATGCCTGCACTTTAACCCTTTGACTGTCGCGGTCGTATATGTACGTCATAGGAGATACCGTGTTTGACGTATCTATACGCATAAATTCTAGCGGCTTCAAATCAAGCAGGAGAAAGCTGGTAGGCCCACATGTGAGAGAATGGGTCTCCATGGTCAGTGTGCACCATATAAAAAAAATCGGGGAGCCAGTGGTGCATTGTGGGAATACCATTTCAGTCGTCCTTTTTCAGCATGTCTAGCGGTAAGAAATATGTGACTTCCCTGCAAATCTGGGACTCTTCTCTTCCCAAGTGATGCTCTAACACAGATAGAAGTGTCAATGAAGATCAATTTCATGATTTCGAGGAGTTTGAGACCAAAAGCAATGGAGGAGGTGGAGGAGGAGGAGGAGGAGGAGGAGGAGGAGGAGGAGGAGGAGAGAGGAGAGGAGGAGGGAAGAAGAGGAGGAGGAAGGAAGGAGGAAGAGGAAGGAAGGAGGGAGGAGGAGGAAGGAGGGAGGAGGAGGAAGGAGGGAGGAGGAGGAAGGAGGGAGGAGGAAGAAGGAGGGAGGAAGAAGGGAGGAGGGAGGAGGTGGGAGGGAGGAGGAGGAAGGAGGGAGGGAGGAAGAAGGAGGGAGGAGGAGGAAGGAGGGGGGGAGGAGGAAGGTGGAAGGAGGAGGAAGAAGAAAAAGAAGAAGAAGAAGAAGAAGAAAAAAAGAATAAAATAAAATAAGAATAATAATAATACCAAATCCCTAATAAAAATAATATGTAAAATTTTTTTCCCCTTGAGGATGAAAACAGTTCACCCCATGACAGTAAAAGTAAGGGGAGAACATCTGAAAAAGGCTGACCTTTGATGAGAGTAAACGAGGGGGGAGGGGGGGGCAGTGTCCATTGTCAAAGCCGGGAGGAGGAGGAGGAGGAGGGGGGGGAGAAGGAGAAAAAGGGAGGAGGGGGGAGGAGGAGGAAAAGGGGAGGAGAGGGGGGGAGGAGGAGGGGGGGAGAGGAGGGGGGAAAGGAGGGGGAGGAGGGGGGGGAAAGGAGAGGAGGAGGGGGGGAAAAAAAGATGACGACGAACAAACATTTGTCGTGTCTATTTGTCGGGTCTCCCAAAACTCCCTGTTATCCGTCTGCTCTGTCTCAGAGGGGCCCACAAGATGTCACACATTTTAAATACATCTTCAAGCAGAGTATAGCACTTTGCGGTTTTTTTTGGGTTATCCTGGGAAATTTTACACTATGATAGTGTATTTTTGGTACCTGTGAACAAGATGACAGAAGAGGAAAAGAGACAGATTGAAAGAATAGAATGAGGGAAAAGAAAATTTGAAGAATGGGGGGGGGAACAGCATCCGACCCCATTGTTTTAAAGGGCAGTGGGGGGAGTGACAAGAGACAAATGCTTTTTGACGCTGCCATCCTGCCTCAAAACAGTTATAACCACACACTCGCACAAAGACAGTTTGCGAAGGGGAAAATAGCATTTTATAAATATCTAGTGACTATATATGTGTTTTAATATTATAAAAACCAAAGCAAAAAGGGGAAGGGCGGGAATAAAGAGGACTAGATGAAAGGAAGAAAAAAGTAATAAAGGACAGATGAAGGAATGTAGGAAGAGAGGTGGAAGGGCCCTCCAGGTATCTCCGGGTAGGAAAGGAATGAAGGAAATTAGGAAGGAATGTGACACACACCATTTACCTAGGGTAACTACATAACACAACTGCCTGCTAATACTTTGGGAAAAAAGCTGCCAGCGAGGGTTTTTGTTTGCACTTAAAAAAAAAAATTCAACAAAATGCCACCATGATTTTTTGGTGGGAGTGTAAAACACCATTGTGTATGACACCATGTTTTATTGTGAGGAGTTAAAACCCATTTTTTTGACACCATGTTTTATGTTTTAGGAGTGAAAGACCCCCGTGTATGACACCTGTTTTAGTGTGAGGAGTGTAAAACCCACTGTGTAAACACCATGTTTTATGTGTGAGGGTGTAAAAAAAACCCCTGGTAGACACCCTTTTTATTGGAGGAGTGTAAAACACCCCTGTGTTTCACCATTTTTATGTGTAGAGTGTAAAACACCACTGTGTATGACACCATGTTTTTTTGTTGAGGAGTGTAAAAAACCCTGTGTATGAACCATGTTTTATGTGTGAGGAGGAAAAACACCCTGTGTATACCCATGTTTTTTTTGTAAGATGTAAAACACCACTGGTAGACACCATGTTTTACAGAGTTCCACAAAATGCAGAACTTTTAGGGGTATGTTTATGACTTAATTGGTATAATATTATGACAATAGTAATAAACAATTTTTTGTATTGTTTGTTTTTTGAAACAAGTTTGTAAAAAATATTTTATAATTATTTTTTGTGCTTATTTTGTTGTATACAACGAGTGAATAGTACTTCCCTTACTTTGGTCTCACAGGCCCATAAGTTATGGAAAAAATAAAAAAAGTGAAAAAAACAACAAACCTTCAAATCAATTTAAAATAAGTTTTCCGGGTGACGGCAGTCGCCGCTGTTGCCAACGCGGGGTCATTTTCTGCAAAATTCATCCTCTTATTCAGTAAGTACTGATGGGAAAATTTTTTTTTTTTGGGGCTAAAACAATCAGAAAAATAATCTTAACATTTTCATAAGAAAAAAAAAATTTTTTTTTTCGAATATTTTGCACACCAGGGGACACTTCAGGGTTTGGCCCTTCACAGTCAAAGGGTTAAAGGGGGGTTTGGGGGTATTTGGGAGTTTTTGGGGGGATATGTTTTGTATCTTTTGTGTGTATGCTTCTAACGTTGTATTTTGAGCACCCCCTGCAAAAACGTGATAATGTGCGAGGGGTGAAAGTGTTGAATGATGAAAAAAATTTTCTTTTGGGGATTTTCTTTCTTTTTTTTGGGGCACCCTGCCTCGGTGGGAAACCCGATTGTTGAAAAAAAAAAAAAAAAAATAAAAAAAGATATTATAAGGGAAAATTTTTTACAAACTCTTACAAATGCATGAAGAACAAAACGGACACGTAATTACCGTCTATTTTGCCCGACCCATGATCGCCACAACCTTTTATTTTTTTCGCTTTTGACGGGGTATCATTAAATTTGATATTTCTTAAATAACACATTTTTTATTAATTCATGATATTTTTTTTTTAAAAAATATTTAAAAAACGTACATAACAAAATACATAACAACAAGTTTTAAAAACCTAGGATAACCCCAAAAAACAGAGTGACTTACTTCCATTTCTTCACTCAGACTCATTTCTTCTCAAAAGATGTTACATGAGAATGGGAGTGTTCTTCTTTTATTTATTCTACCATTCAATGTAGAGACAAACCCTTTTAAAAATTAACTTGTACACAAACCCGACGTGTACCTGTTTACAAAACTTACCTTCGCCGGTTTGTTTACATAACTCTGCCCTGTCCTTCCATGCACTCATTCTTTTTCCCCTGGGAGGTAGCCTGGGAATACCCTACATACCACACTTAAAATTTTTTCTAAATAACTCATCCACCCAATTTAAGGGGAATAAGAGTGAACTGTATAAACATTTTTCGCCTGGGGTCTTAAATTCTAAATAGATGTGTGGGTGGGTTGGCCTGGTAAGGAGCCTGGGTGACTACCATACAAACCCCACTTTATATTTTTAAAAAAATACTACTCTCTCACCCTTTATTTTAAAAGGGAAGTAATGATGAACTGTATATACATTTTATCGCTTTTGGATGCTTAAATATCATAGAATAAAGTGTGGGTGGGGGGGCCTGGTTGGTACCTGCTGACTACCATACATACCACACTGATTTTTTACAATAAATACTACTTGTCTCACCCCAATTTAAGGGTATAAATATTTTAAGGTAAGTAATGAGTGCACTGTGTGTGTATTGTACTTTTTTATTGTTTTTTGATGCCTGGTTCTATTGCTAACATAATATATGTTAGTGTAAACTTGTTATCTAGTTTTTGTATGCATTTGTAAGTGGAAAAAAAGGGTGTTCCACTTTACGGCGGTTTCCGCTTTACGGCGGTAGCCTGGAACCTAACCCGCCGTATAAGTGGGGCCCTCCTGTATATATATACACACCCCTCTGGGTTTTCTTCTATTTCTTTCTAGTTCTTGTTTATTTCCTCTTACCTCCACGGGGAAGTGGAACAGAATTCTTCCTCCGTAAGCCATGCGTGTTGTAAGAGGCAACTAAAATGCCGGGAGCAAGGGCCTAGTAACCCCTTCTCCTGTATAAATTACTAAATTTAAAAAGAGAAACTTTTGTTTTTCTTTTTGGGCCACCCTGCCTTGGTGGGATACGGCCAGTTTGTTGAAAAGAAAAAAAACTTTGGAGAACTTAATTAGGGTAGGAAAAATAAATATTTTCATCATTTATGTGCAGTATGTCAATGATTGTATATTTTTTCAGGTCTGATTTGTGGAACATCAACTTGTCACATGTGTGTGAGTGTAGATCCCATCTTTGTGCCAGGTGTGTGGGGACCATATTACAGTGCTATGATTCCTGGCTGCTGGCTTGCTGAAGGTGGACAGAGTTCAACTGGTGGTCTTGTTGATCACATTATAAAAACTCATCCAGCAGCTAATGACTGCCCAGATGAGTAAGAATAACATATAGTATGATTTTTTAATATTATATATACGTCTGAATGGGGAAGTGGAGAAGAATCCTTCGTAAGTTAACAAAGTGTGTTGTAGGAGGCGACTAAAATGCCGGAAGCAAAGGGCTCGTGACCCCTTCTGTGTAAATTGCCAAATGTATAAAGAAGAAAAACATTGATTTTTCAGGTCACCTTGCCTTAGTGGAAGACAGCTGATGTGTTAAAAAAAAGTTAATTACAGTATGGGTGAATGGAGACAAGTGGTTTTTAATGGATGCGCTGTTGGAGTGAGAGTAAGGTAACTTTCGTTAAAGGATTCAGGGAAACCAGTTAGCTGGACTTGAGCCCTGGAGGTGGGAAAGGTAGTGCCTGCACTCTGAAGAAAGGTTGGGGATTTTGCAGTTGGAGGGTAATCTGAAGTGTGATCTCATCACACTTTTGGAAGGACAGTGACTGAATGAATGACAGTGAATGTGTAGAAGGAGATGGTTGTTGAGTTAAGAAAAAGAAATAGAATTTGAAAAGTGTGCAGTATGGCTACAAATGTTGGAGGTAGAAAGCTGAGTGCCTGTACTCTGGAGGAGGGGTGGGATTATTGTAGTTCTGGAGGTGGGAACTACAGTACTTTTATGCTGAAGGGTGAAAATATTATAGTTCTGGAGGTGGTATACAGATGGATTCAATAAAGTATTTTGAACTTGAAAGCTCCTTGTGTTTTCCGAATTCTGTGGACTTTGTAGTCTAGTAGTTAATTTTGCTGTACACCTTTGTTTTGGGGTAATACCCAAAAAAAGTTCACCAACCTCTGCTCTAAATTATTAACATATTTGAACAGATGTGGGCTTCATGCTGAGGTTGCGTACTCGATGACAGGCCTCATGGATGTTGCATATATTGTCACAAATGATTCAATACTGAGATTCGTGAAAGGTAATAATTCTTTGGTCAGAAATTAGCAATTTACCTTTAAAGCTACTCAGTTGATGTTAACTTCTGGAGAAATATTCAGTACCATGTTTACTCCTGGGATGCTTTGAAAATCTGGAAAATCTTCCAGCTCCTGCACCCAACATCTTGCTCCTGGGGGATTTCAACTTAAGGCACCTAAAATGGAGGAATATAGCAAATAATATTGTTGCAGTAATAACACCAGGAGGCAGCTCTGATGAAAACTCACACTCACACGAGCTTTTAAATCTCTGCACAAAATTCAATTTAAACCAGCAAATAATAGAGCCTACTAGACTGGAGAATACACTAGACCTCATCTTCACTAACAATGATGATCTGATAAGAAATGTCACCATATCAAAAACAATATACTCAGATCACAACATAATTGAGGTTCAGACATGTATGCGTGGAGCCCCAGACTGACATAATGAGACTAGTCACGAGGGAGCATTCACCAAATTCAACTTCAATAACAAAAACATAAAGTGGGACCAAGTAAAACCAAGTCCTAACCGATATAAGCTGGGAAGATATACTAAGCAACACAGACCCCAACTTATGCCGAGAACAGATTAACTCGGTGGCACTCGATGTATGCACAAGGCTTATTCCTCTAAGAAAAAGGAGTAGTAGATGTAAAATAGAAAGAGACAGGCGCTCCCTTTACAGGCGACGGAAAAGAATAACAGAGCGGCTAAAAGAGGTCAATATATCTGAAATGCGTAGGGAGACACTGGTCAGAGAAATAGCAAGCATCGAACTTAAGCTAAAAGAATCCTTTAGGAATCAGGAATCGCGGGAAGAACTAAAAGCCATAAATGAAATCGAAAGAAACCCAAAGTATTTCTTCTCCTATGCCAAATCAAAATCGAGAACAACGTCCAGTATTGGGCCCCTACTTAAACAAGATGGGTCCTACACAGATGACAGCAAGGAAATGAGTGAGCTACTCAAGTCCCAATATGACTCAGTTTTTAGCAAGCCGCTAACCAGACTGAGAGTCGAAGATCAAAATAAATTTATGAGAGAGCCACAAAATTTGATTAACACGAGCCTATCCGATGTTATCCTGACGCCAAATGACTTCGAACAGGCGATAAATGACATGCCCATGCACTCTGCCCCATGGCCAGACTCATGGAACTCTGTGTTCATCAAGAACTGCAAGAAGCCCCTATCACGAGCCTTTTCCATCCTATGGAGAGGGAGCATGGACACGGGGGTCGTCCCACAGTTACTAAAAACAAAAGACATAGCCCCACTCCACAAAGGGGGCAGTAAAGCAACAGCAAAGAACTACAGACCAATAGCACTAACATCCCATATCATAAAAATCTTTGAAAGGGTCCTAAGAAGCAAGATCACCACCCATCTAGAAACCCATCAGTTTACACAACCCAGGGCAACATGGGTTTAGAACAGGTCGCTCCTGTCTGTCTCAACTATTGGATCACTACGACAAGGTCCTAAATGCACTAGAAGACAAAAAGAATGCAGATGTAATATATACAGACTTTGCAAAAGCCTTCGACAAGTGTGACCATGGCGTAATAGCGCACAAAATGCGTGCTAAAGGAATAACAGGAAAAGTCGTCGATGGATCTATAATTTCCTCACTAACAGAACACAGAGAGTAGTCGTCAACAGAGTAAAGTCCGAGGCAGCTACGGTGAAAAGCTCTGTTCCACAAGGCACAGTACTTGCTCCCATCTTGTTCCTCATCCTCATATCCGACATAGACAAGGATGTCAGCCACAGCACCGTGTCTTCCTTTGCAGATGACACCCGAATCTGCATGACAGTGTCTTCCATTGCAGACACTGCAAGGCTCCAGGCGGACATCAACCAAATCTTTCAGTGGGCTGCAGAAAACAATATGAAGTTCAACGATGAGAAATTTCAATTACTCAGATATGGTAAACATGAGGAAATTAAATCTTCATCAGAGTACAAAACAAATTCTGGCCACAAAATAGAGCGAAACAACCAACGTCAAAGACCTGGGAGTGATCATGTCGGAGGATCTCACCTTCAAGGACCATAACATTGTATCAATCACATCTGCTAGAAAAATGACAGGATGGATAATGAGAACCTTCAAAACTAGGGAGGCCAAGCCCATGATGACACTCTTCAGGTCACTTGTTCTATCTAGGCTGGAATATTGCTGCACACTAACAGCACCTTTCAAGGCAGGTGAAATTGCCGACCTAGAAAATGTACAGAGAACTTTCACGGCGCGCATAATGGAGATAAAACACCTCAATTACTGGGAGCGCTTGAGGTTCCTAAATCTGTATTCCCTGGAATGCAGGAGGGAGAGATACATGATTATATACACCTGGAAAATCCTCGAGGGACTAGTACCGAACTTGCACACGAAAGTCACTCACTACGAAAGCAAAAGACTTGACAGACAATGCACCATCCCCCCAATGAAAAGCAGGGGTGTCACTAGCACGTTAAGAGACCATACAATAAGTGTCAGGGGCCCGAGACTGTTCAACTGCCTCCCAGCACACATAAGCGGGATTACCAACAGACCCCTGGCAGTCTTCAAGCTGGCACTGGACAAGCACCTAAAGTCAGTTCCTGATCAGCCGGGCTGTGGCTCGTACGTTGGTTTGCGTGCAGCCAGCAGCAACAGCCTGGTTGATCAGGCTCTGATCCACCAGGAGGCCTGGTCACAGACCGGGCCGCGGGGGCGTTGACCCCCGGAACTCTCTCCAGGTAAACTCCAGGTGTGGTGTTGCTCAACCTTGAACTTCTTGTGGGGTTGAACTCCAATAGCCACTTGTGTGGCAAGCTTTGTACTTTGTGTAGGTCAAACTGAAGCTTTTTTCCTGTCTTCTCTAGGGTTTTATTTTTTCATTAGCTTTACATAATGCACAAACAGGGCTAGGGAGGGTCCTTTCATTTTCTCAGGTACATATATTGTTTATGTATCTCAGGAACAGTAGCAGTTTAGTACAGAACCTTGTGGAGAATCACAAATCCCACTGTCTAATAGCAGGAACAATAGTGGTCCAGTAAGGAACCTTGCAGAGCACCACATGTCTCACTGTCTTTAGCTGGTACAACAGGGGTCCAGTACAGAACCTTGCAGAACACTGCATGAAAAATGTTTTTCTACACTTTAATTGTAACCACTAAAATCACTTCACTTATCACAACTACCAGCACTTTACATATCATAACTACTAGCACTTCACTTATCACAACTACCAGCACTTGACTTATCACAACTATCAGCACTTCACTTATCACAACTACCAGCACATCATTTACCACCACTACTAGTACTTCAGTTATCACAACTACCAGCATATCATTTATCATCACTACAAATACTTCATTTATCACCTCTTCTTGTATGTAATCAGTATTGATAATGTCTTTTCCAAGCCACCCAAGAGGTAGACATCGAGGCTCGTTTTTTTTATAGTGGTGTCCCCAGTAGGCCTAGTCCACTCTTCTCTCAACTGATGTTCACCTACTCAACAGCTATAAGCTTGAAGGAAGGCTTTTGGTTCTTCAAGCTGAAACAAGATCTTATCATTTTCTTTCTTCCTTTCCTGAAGTTCACGCTCTTCAAAATTCTTCAGGAACTCGGCAACTTCTGCTCTTTTCTTCTTCTCGTATTCCCAAAGCTTTCTTCTGCGGGTCTTGCGTTGGGAGTCAGTCTTACGAAGAGCAAAATTACCAATTTATACTGAGCATCGTAGGCATCAAAAATCTCTCTATTGCCATCTTTCGTTCTTCCTTCTCTTTCTCAGCTTTACGCTGGGCCCAAGCACGAGCCTTTTCCCGGGAGCGGTAGGCTGCCAAGTCTCGAGCCTTGGCCACCATCAAGGCACTAGGTTTCACAACACCTCGAGAATACATTCGTCAGATGTCTGTCTTGAGACTTTTATTACTAAAGGTTTGTAAGAAGTAGAAGGCAAGTTCTTCTGGATATCCAAAATGTGGACTGATTTACCAAGATTTAGTTAAATTATTAAATATAGTTAGGCTAGAAGAGTAGAACAGTGGTATATGTTGTGTGA